CTGTGTTATTTTCTTATTCGACAATAAAGAAAAATTCATCATTCAAAAATACGAGTACTTTACTGACATAACTCAAACCTCATTCTTCCTAAACATCGTTCAAAAAATACAGAAAGAGGTCCACGCTATATGGACATTAAATTATACAATCATTTAACACTGACAATCAGAAAAGAAGGCAGACGGCATACTTTCAAGAATTTAGTTTTCAATATGTTGTGTAATATGGAACCACATTCGATGCAAGAATTTTTTATGGCAGTTTTATGACGATTTTAGAAAACAGTAGAAGAATATATATTAGTCTTGGTTATTGAACTTTCCATGATCTTTAAAACTATAGAAATGATATATGCGATAGTATATTGTATTTCAATATTTATATCCGTTGGACAAATGAGTTTATATCTGTCTCATAAGTTCCTTTTTTTTCATTTTCAGTTATACAAACGTTTTATATTTTATATGTATATATTTATATCTTACTGACTTAAATTATTTGATGATTGATTCGAACATTTGAATGTATCTACCTACCTATATAGTTTGATGACTTCGATCTCTGTGGAATCAAGCGAGCTAAGTCAATCGAAAAATTCCCGTGAAAGACTCATATTTATAGAAGAGTTAAATCTCTAATGTTCCTATCAAGGTTACCTGTGACATTTGGGTCTCCAAATATGATTGAGATTGAGATCTAAAATAAACACTTTTTCCAAACTCCAGAAATGCAATACTCTTTTCGATGCGAGTTTCACCAATCAAAACGGAAACATTTTTAGTTCTCATGTCACACGTTATTTCTAGACTTTTGAAAGCATAAAAAATCTGGTGTCTTGTTCCGATCTCAACAATTTCAGATAGTTTTCATTTATTTTACGGCAGTTCTACAAGGTGTGTTTAGCGACACAAGATTTATTTAGTCTTCGAAATTGGATATTTGCTACGTGTCCTTCAAAACGAGTTTCAATAGCTCACTTAGTCTCATATATCCCCAACTTTTCATTTTACAACGTCTTGTCTTTAGAGTTAACTCATATTTGTTGAAGTTAGCAAGAAGTTTTGAATTCTACTTTCACGTATCTAGGTTCATAAAGAAGGAGAATAAACTTTGAATCTGTCTTTTTGAAAAGTCGAAGATTTACGAAGATTCTTCCTAAATTTACGTCAACTTATCTACTATTTTTGAAGAATGTTCGCTACTTCCAGCTATGTCCCTGATAACATGTTTTTCAATATCGTACCTTTCTTTACTCAAAGGGATCGTAACAGGCATATGNTTCGTAGGGGTGCGACAGCTGGTTAACGAAAAAACAGATTTTAAACAGATTTTTTTAACAGATCCCTGAGGAAGCCATTGTAAAGTGAACACAAGTTGTGGTTTTGTAAACTAATCTGTGGAAATCCCACAATGGAGTATTACTTAAAGCAGTAAAACCAATTCAAACAATCATGTCAAACATTTGTGGGAATTGAAAATTATGGAATTTTTTTTCAGTTGATTTGACTAAAACTTTGGTTAACTATAGTTTTACTTTGCGAAATTGATTTTTCATAATTCACTGTCAGGAAAAGGAGTTCCTACGCCCACGCATTGTTGTTCACACTGGCCTGTGCCGACCCTGATTGAAATTGTCGACAGGGAGGTAACCATTACTTATTACACAATTCGAACTCCACACCTCCATTTCTGGGTGTGTGAAGATCAATTTCCTGTATTATTTTCACTATATTGAGATTCAAATACTCTCTAACATTCGATTGTACTTGACTACTCTTCGTTATCTAATTTGATCCGATTATAATTAACGAATACTTTTTATGGTGATTGGCCAATAGCCAATATTCCGATGAAACGAAAGAGGTCACGTAATTTAGCAATTTCCTTGATATATTTCGTACTAATTAATTGAAATATTTGAAATGGTAGTGAACGTAAAAAATATTTTAGATACTCGTATGATCTCATTACTGCCAGAACTGAATTTACGTTTGTCGTCAAACTGTAAACATTGATGAATCGAATTTGTAAGAAATATAATTTTCGGAATGTATATAACGGAATGATTCTACGAATACTGACTTATAATGAGAGGTAGATAATCCAAACAAATCACTTGATGACAAATATACATTTGTCACTTTTTCAGAACTATTTTGAAAATATTGATTTTTCAGAAAGTTATTTATGCAAAATGTATGCCAAAGTTTTCAGAGAAAAAAATGTGCTCAACTGAAAAACCTCTTTTTTCAAGGACAAAACACAAGCACTACTGGAAAATCCTGAAGGCGCTCTTCGAGCGGTGTCTTGCGAAAGTAGTGATTCACATTGGATTTGAATCGCTGGAGATTAAATCCATTTGGAAAAACTTTTGGAAGTTTATTCCACATAAACGCAGTTCTCCAAATGAAAGAGTTCTTAAATAGTGAAGTTCGAGGTGTACTTAGTTGAACCTCAAAACGATGAGCAGCCATAGTCCGTCGCGTATTTCTGATATGTACCGCTCTTGGTGGAATCAAATGTGTCAAGTTACTTGAACACTTTCCGTGAAAGTATCTATAGAAGAAAGACAAATCTCCAACCTTTCTTCGATGTTCGAGACTATCAAAGTTGCAAGTGATGTTCGCGTCTCCAGTCAGGCGGATGGCTCTTTTCTGGATGGAATCCAGAAGCTTTAGGGTATGCTTTGGGATGGAATCCTATACATGTGAAAAATACTCCAAAGAAGGTCTGATCTGAGCTTTATAACGCATTGAAACTTGCTGAGTTGTGTACAGTTTTCTGGTTCGGAACAGTGTTCCAAGCTTTTGAGAAGTAGCCTTTGCATTTCCAGCGACATGATTGTGCCAACAAACTTATCGAAGCAGAAAGCGGAATCGTCTGGCTTGAAATTATATTCGGTTCAAAGACATTTATTTTTTTGGAGAAAACCGATGCCTGGGTTTTTGTGGCATTGAATTGAACCTGCTTACTTTCACCCCAATTCGAAACTACTTCTATCTAAGGATCTATAGATCCTTATTAAGATATGCAACCTCGGTCACTTCTAGTTCACAACTCGTCTACACTAAGTTTAAATCCTTTTTCTACTAAGGAACAATATCCAACATGAGGTCAATACAAATGGAAATTTTGAAATATTTTTTCACACCCGATTTGTGAATAAGATTAGAAAATATTTTCATTGATTCAAAATTTTGAACTTTTGGCGTAAAGTGAATCTATTGAATGAACTTTTTTCCTGACCAGAACCAAAATGCTGCTTTTAGACGCATGTTTCGCTAACCACGTTAGCATCTTCATGGAAAATTTAAACTTGAAAAGTAATTTCTTCAGTCACTTCCTGATTATGCTTTGTTAGCGAAACGCGAGTCGAGAAACAGCATAATTGTTCTGGTCAAGAATAAAGCGTTTTTTCAATTGATTCGAAATGTACTGAAAAATAAAATAAAATTGAGCTATTTTCTCAAAGCTGAAAAATCGAATAAAATTGGACAATCGTCTTTCGATTGCATATTTTTGATTGTTTTTCTGTAAAACAGATTTAGATCGTATTCTTCTTTGGTGGTAACTGAAAACAGTAAACTTTGTTCCCCAGATATGCTTACCAGGCATATGCCTACTAGACATATCTGGGGAACAGATACTGGAACATCCCGTACACTGAATTACTAGTGCTGCAAATTTCAAAATCTATTCCATCAAACGTATTCAAATTGTAGAATAAGGTATATATAGCATTGAATGTGTAGAATTAGTTAGTTAAGACACGCCGGAAGAAACCATTGTATGGCGAAAAACGTGTTGCAGTTTTGTAAAATTGTTTGGCGAAAATCTCACAATAAACTGTTTTTTGAATACGTTAGTTATGGATTTTCATCAAGTATCGGCCAATTCTATCATCTGTTTCATCAACTTTTTGTCAACAAGTAACTACAGTCATTTAGTTATACAAACATTTACTAAACCGCAATGATAATGAAAATTTATGAACTATAAGAGTTATAATTACAAAAAAACGTTTTATTTATTCTCTAGAAACGCGATAAATAATTGGCATACAATTTGCTAGTGGCAATAGTGTTGGCAAATAAGATGACAGTGACGATTTAAAAAAAAAACATCAGTTAGATGCATGATAATTGATTAAATATAAAATTCACCCATTAAAAAAACTATATGCAAAATAGCTGACGAAAAACCGTGACTAAAATTGCGGGAGACCATGGACCTTCACACTGATATTGGGATAATCGCATATGTGAAAACTACGTGTACAATAAATAGTACATCGTTTTATATTTTCTTCCAATTTCTTCTCAGTAATTTTTTCAAAGTCGAGTAAAAACGATAGTCATGACGTCAGTAATATTTTATATGAACTTGGCAACACCGTAAAACTTATTTATATTGTATAATTTCATTTTCTCCTTCCTGTATTTTTGTTGTTCTGAATTTGAAAATTAGTTCCGAATTGAGAGACATTTCATATCAGAAAACATAGATTCTATATTTGTAATTTCGTTAAAGAGACATTCGATCGAGTAGTGCCAATTGAATAGTTATGTCGTATATTCATTGATTTACTTTCTTCTACCCACAAAAAATCATATTCATTTTGGAACATGGTTTCGGTGGGGGTAACTCTCTTTAGTAATGGGGTCACAATAATTTTTGAAAATTCTATTTTCCTTCGAAATGGAAAAGTTTGGGTGTCATCTACTTCTTGCAGAATGAACTTTTTTATACATCTGACGAATAATATTGATTTTATTATTTTTCACCAAAAGTGTAAAAATCCCGTGGTAGGAATCGCTTGTTAGACGGTAAGGTTAATCCTCAATTCTTACAAGTTGAGGCTTCTGAGGGTTATTGTTCGTAGGGAGGCGGAAACAGATTTTTTCTTTCAATAGATTATGGACATATGGAAAACACGTTTTTTTGAAAACTTTCGCAGAAATCAGAAAAACATTTCACGATAATATAATTCAATACTCACCATATCCGGGTCGTTCCAGTGTCCAGGACCGGCGTTAGGCACAATAACATCCTGATTGTTTCCGTAGTAATCAATGATGCTCTCCACACTAGCCCAAGAATCTTGAATATCGTCAAAGTTTCTCCACATGTTACAGTGCTGAATGATGGATGTAAAATTTGGTTGCATTCCCGCGTAAATCTGGTAAACTGGCCAACTGCACGAATAGATCATCGGACGTCCGGTCCTGTTTAGTTGGTAACCGAATTCAGGGTAACCCCTATCCATGTCCCTGGGATGTGCGTAGCATCCATCGAGTTTGACGTAGTCGACGTCCCAAGAAGCGAAAGTTGATGCATCGCTTTCCAAAAAGCCTAAAACTCCCGGATATCCGGCACAAGTGTAGTTGCCGTAATCTTCGTAGATTCCGAATTTGAGACCCTTGGAGTGAACCTGGAACGAACATTTTGTTCTACATTCTGGAATAAAATTCCTAAAACTTATTAAGAAAGATCATTATAGTGACATATAAAATATAATGTATTCAGAAAATTAAATTGCAAAGGAAGTAATGAAAAAATACAAAATAATTAGACGTAACTGTGAAGCTTGGATGGCTTTGCTCTGAAAATTACCTTCATCAGTGGAATATTCAATAGTCTGTGAAGCATATTATTGAATGCTGCCACCTTACGTATCATGTTAATTTCATTACATTTCGTGATTTTGCAATTTTACACAAACCATCTTATACGGATATAGTCATACATAATTTCTCGACACATACCTGTCTGCATAAAGCAGCAGAATTCAATAGTATGGCTTCATACACCATTGAATACTTCACTGCTAGAAAATAATTTTCAGAGAATCCGAGTTTCATCAAACAAATTGCTGTCGACAATGGTTGCAATATAGATATTATCCACTCCATTCTTTCTAAACGAACATCATACAAGCCACTTCAAGAAACAATGGTGAGCGTCTTAAGATATACTTTTGTGAACCCACCAATAATATCGCCTGTTTTTTGAAAAAGAAAGACTTGGACGTGACTTCATAATATATGATGGTTAAGGCAAATTCATTAAATCAGGTGTATGAGAGTTGACTTGTGGTTCATACCCAAAATTTTATATAATCCAAACGGGGAAAACATATTCCCTGAGAATAAAAAAAGGTAGGAGTAGTTTCTTGCATGTCAAGACCAAATTTTGGCAGAGGTACATGAGTTCAACCACGACTATGACGCATTATATTTGAAAGAGAAAGGCTTGCATTTCAATCTTTTGGAATGCGTGAAAATTGATAAAATTGGGAATTCTGAAAATTTACTGAATAACTGAATAAAATTGAATTTTTCCCCTTTACCAAATTTGTTTTCTCATGTGAAAATTGGTAAGTTTTGTGATTGGTAATTTTTTCATAATATTTGAATTTTTGATTAGTTTATACTCAAACTCTGGTGAAATTATCAGTCATTTAGGTTGAAGGTCATATGATTCAAATATTCATATCATATAAAGAACTAACTAGGTAGAATTAAGTCAGTTTGAACACATTTGAAGAGGCTATTGTATAGTGAAACACTTGTTGCGGTTTAGTAAACTGTTCAGTGGAAATGTCACAATAAAAAGTGTTATTTGAATAAAAACTTTGTCTGCAATTTGTGCACCTTCTTTTGGAAGTAACTCTGGAAGTAACTTTGGAAGTGATTTTCCTCTTTCAATCTATGGCATGTCATCTGTTTAAGCTAGGCGCGTACCGCTAAGTCCGACAGAGTTAAAAAAATTATTGCTTTTATTGAGTTCAGGAATAGAATTCGACAATGATGTTGAAGACAAATTTTGCTTTGTTGTTTGTTAGTTAATGATAAAGTAAAATCACCTTTTCCTTTCACAGGAATATTCTCTTGGAAAAGGAAAAATGTGGACAATTTATGATAACAAAGAAGACGAGTGATGGTGATTTTAGTAATTACTTCGTAATGAATCGAAACCAATTTGCAGAAGTGCATGTTCATTCCAAATCCTGTTTTTGAATTTTGTTTTCATATTATTCAAACCGCTGGGGTCATACACATCTTTGTATGCCCTCACAGCCTCAATTAATGCTGTTGTAATACAAAGCCTTTGGCGACACGCGAAAGAATTGGTATTAAAAACTGTGTCTCCACCACTGTGCCACATGAGTCACGTGTCACGCTAGTCACGCCACCTCATGTCAGGGCGCTGTTCTATTGGTTTCAATTCGTTACAAAAGATCGTGTTCTGCAGCGTCACCCCACACGCTTCCAGTTTGCGCCTAGCTTTATCGTTCTTTCATTATTTCAGTTACGGTACATACTTTAACAAAATCCCAAATCATGTCAAATTTGAATTATAATTTAAAATACTTCAACGGAAAAATGCTACCCTATCTTCTACACCTGTCGAATGAAAGGTACAACTAACAATTTTTCAAATGGAAAGTATAGGCTTGTGATATATCGTTTGAAAGGTATTTTCATTTAATATTCAAAAATGTTATCACTCTCAAGTTTATTGCAACAATTTTGTATGTTACAACATTAGTTGTCAGTATTTTAATTTGAGTTTAAAGTTCCTTAACTTCAAATCTGACAAATGGTTAGATTAACGGAAATGCATAAAATAACATATGCATAAAAAAACAAATGATTGGTTACGGAAATAAAACCCGAACACAAGAGGAAGTAGCTCGCCTATTTCATGAGAAATTTCCTAATTTACCGCCCATATCTCAAGGAAAAATAGGCAAAATAGAGAAGCAGATTCGCCAACTTGGTCATGTGAAGCAGAAAAAAAGCATCTGCCAATGCAATGAGTAATTAACTCAAATCAGATGTGATGCCTGAGTTTGAGGAAAATCCACATACATTGAGTAGACAGGCATCCACTACATTCAATGTTGCCATACATCGATAGTAAACATATTAAAAGAAAATAAAATGCATCCCTATAAAATGATACCTTCTCAGGAGCTCATAGAAAACGATTTTGATAGAAGAACTTATTTTTGTGAGCAAATGATGGAGATGTTAGATAACAATATCATCCAATTAGAAGACGTTATGTTTTCTGATGAGTGTACTTTGTCTCTTAACGGTCATGCTAATCGGCAAAATTGCCGCTACTGGTCAACGGAAAATCGTCACTGGATTAGAGAAAAACAAATGCAATACCCTCAAAAGGTTAATGATTGGTCAGGGATTGTAGGAAACCATATCATTGGTCCCTTCATTCATTGAGGGCAACTTCAATGGCGATAATTATTTGACACTACTTCAAAATGATGTCATTCTAAGTTTAGCAAATTCATATCCTGATCCAGGAAACCCTCAAGTTCCAGTGAATCCGATATGGTTTCAGTAAGATGGAGCACCACCACATTACTAAGAAAGTTAATGTTCGGAAATACCTCGATGCAACATTTCCCAATCGGGGGATAGGGAGGCGAGGAATGATTGAATGACCAGCGCGATCAGCTGATCTTTCATCATTAGATTTCTTTTCATGGGGGCATGTAAAGAGCAATGTATACAAAACTAAACCTTCAGATTTGAATGACTTGAAATAACGAATAACGCTTGCGATTAGGTCGATCACGCCTGATATGTTAAATAATAATAGAAGACAGTTTTATTTGAGATAAGGATGTTGCCAAGACGTTCGTGGTGAACATTTTGAACACCTACCTCGTTAACATCTATATTTTATCGAGTTTCGATAACCACATGATTTTAATTTATTTTATCTAGAATGTTACAATAAACTTTTTGAATAAAGGATTAAGGAACCTTTCAAACGATATATCACAAACCTCTCCCTATTATTTGAAAAATTGGGGGTTGTGGTGGTGACATTTTTACGTTGAATTGAATTTAAAAATATGTACAGAAACCGAAATAATGAATTTACTCCATTTGACTTTTACACACTATATTTGCTGTTGGCTCTTGTTGCTGTTTGAACTTCAGGCAACAAAGTGTTGCTTGCTGCAAGCCAAGTGTAACTAGATACGTGATTTTTCTCATTTGATGTCTATCAAATGATAGATGATGAACATGATTTATAAGAAAATATACCGTTCTTTTGTGTATTTAACCTTCCACAACCTGATAAATGAAGAAAGCTAAACCAATACAGAATCTGCTGAAGGGCAAAGTTCAACCCGAAAAGTTATTGCGTAATATAAATTACTGAAGTAACCTGTTGTATTCATGAATTTCACCTACAAATTTGCTAACCTATGAGAAATAATTATATTTATATACTTAGCTTCCTTTAGATGGTTAATGTTTCGGAAAGTAATTACTTTCCATTCGCAAAACCCAAATAAATCACTTTTGAAAAACAATCCAACCAAAAAGGGGTATATGTGTCTTTTTTCAAACGTCAGAAAGTTCTTTTCGTGTGAATCTTTTGACGTTTGTTTTTCATAAGTGAATTCTTTGAGTCTCGAGAACGAAAAGTAGATTATTTTCAGAATGAATGAGTGTTTTTAGAAAAAGATGAATATAGGTATGTAGATCATGCATAGAAGTTTCCTTCAGATACAAACTGAAAAAAACATTTGTGAAATTAAACGAAAGGAAAAAGTATTTTCGAAATAATTATTTTGAAACAAACATCGAATCACACGAAAATAACTTTTTCCCGCTTGTCACGAATGTCACATTCATCGTGGCAGAGTTGACTCTTTCGGTGACTAAAGTCCTAATGTCAAGAAATAAATCACTGACTCGTCTTGTAATGTTATCCAAAACGGTGCTGCTGGGGTGATGAGGTAAGTATTTTGACCCGAATCACAAAAAACATCGACTCCTCCATAAAAAACTTCTCTCAAAGAATATAATATACTTGTTCATAAAGAAAACATAGAACAAGTGAAAAATGTCGTGAAGTATCGCAAAACATTTAAATCGAAAAAATCGCTTCTTGTGAACCATTTCCAAGCATTACATGAATATGTTGCATATCAATATGTGATAAATCAATGCCATTGCCAGGTTTTGTGTGAAGAATCCTCCTTTGAATGGAACTAGCAATTTCGGACACAACACTTCAGTAACTATACTGCTAAAATATCAATTTCATTTGAGCAATATATTTTCTATAGTTACATTCTTTATTTTTTTATCCTGTGCTAGGAAAGCATTTTTATATGCTGCGTTTATCAGATTAGAATGTGTTATTTCAAGCGTTTCTATTACACAATTTAATTGTTACACGAAATTGTTCTACCTAGAGCGATGATATACTTTATAAAGACAATGTTTTAATATCCGTTTTCACTTTTTAAGTACAATAGTGGAGTCTCAAATCCTTTAATAAGGAAATGGGTTTCGTTACAGGAAACGTGGATTAGTATTGAATGCATGAGTTTACGGAAACGGTGCAGAACATTATCGCGGAAATGGAGCGTTATATGATACGTGGAAATATGAGTTTGGTAAATTCAATACTTTTTTTCAGACAAAAACATTGAATAAGCATTTCAGTTTATATAGTTTTTGTATGAGAAATATCTCCCAATTATGGATTGAAATCGTTTTAGGTCTGGAGATATCTACGCGTGAACATCAATAGAAATAAACAGGAAAATGGTCCCTGACGAGAAAAAGAAGAAATTACGAAAATACTAGTTGTTACCCGCGGCTCCGCCTGCGTAGAATTTGGTTTGTCACATTAGGTTTCGTTACAGACCATTTTAAACAAATAGTTACAACATTTTTCCACTAACCCAAAACTTCAGGTTCACAACTTCAAAACTGACAAAATTCAATACAATCTTTGAACCCCTATGTTTCCCCCTTGGGAGTGGAAATTCTTGTTTCCCTTTCTTGATGTTCATTTATGCCATAAAAAAAACCTACCTGCATACTTCAAGATTCTAGGTTCAGTAGCTTCGGCTGTACGTTAATATAAGAGCGGGCTACAGCTAGTAATTCATATTTTTACTCTAAAAATACGGTAACTGAAAAAAAAGCCAACTGAATTGCTTGGGGAATCGAGTTATGTTACCTATAATGAAATTCGTAAAACTAACATAACCGTCAACGTCGTCTGCCCTCACGCGTCTACCCGCGTTCGGGTCGCGTTCTTGGCGATCGCGCTTCATTGCTTAGACCGTCCATCTACCCGCGCATTGTCCCCAGTCGTCTCACAGTAGAAGCGACGCGTGATGTCTTACTGCGTTGCGTCAGATTAATCTTATCGTGATAACTTTTAAACAATTCGTCCAAATTACTTAGTGTAAAAGACAACGTTTATCTATATTAATACTTTAAACGACAAGTTTATCAGTTTCAATGAGAATTTGATAAATATTCTGAAAGTGTGCACTGTAAAAAAGTTTCCAATTTAATTGGACGATAGGTGTCAGTCCATTAACCTACAGTATAGGTATTTTGAGACTGACCGAAACGAATTGTCCTTTTAGATGATCTAATTAAATTGTATTTATGGCTCAGTATTTTGCATAAGCTTATATGGTTTTCTGATGTATAAGCTATATTTATGCAAAGTTTCATCTAAATCCGTTCAGTCGTTTAGGTGTGAAAGATCCACAAACATACATACATACATCCATCCTCACAAACTTTCACATTTATAATGATAGAGTATAGATAGATGTATACTGACTCAAGTAATTTGATAACTGTGTATACTTTCAATGAAAAAAAAAAAATATCAAAGTTCACGTGAACGATTTTTTACCGTCTTGAACAATAAACAAATGGAACTACAGTTTCATAGCAAATTAAAAATCAAAACTGGAAATTAAATACATAGGAGCAAACAAATATGGTCCTAATTTCAATATTGAAAAAATCAAAAACATTTCACTGATACAAATGAGTACATGTGTGCAAAACATTTGACTATACCCAATATTAATGCAGTCAAAACTCCATTAGAATGTGGGAATATATGTTTTTGAAACTATTACTATTATGGCATATCTCACAGATAACCAATATCACTTGACAGCAACTACTCGAAATAGGTGTTTTGAGCTTAGTGAGCTCAGATCGGTAATAACAGAGTTCAAAGTATTCTTTATTTTATTACGACAAAGTTTAACCAAGGAAAATTCACCATCATACTATACTATGAGGTCAAAGAGAAAACCCTTAGCATCGAACAGAAACTTAGAGCACCTGTAACTGATGTGGTCGTACGTCATCGGTTATTTTTGAGATATTTACCATCTGGGATTTAGACTTTAGTCACCTCTCATTGAGGTTATTCTTAATTTGACTCCAAAGAGTTCATAATTTAGTGAATTTTCTACACAGTAAAAATATTTGGCTGTAATTATAATAACCGGTTTACACAATTCATTCCAATTGAATCCAATATTAAAATTTCAATATAAGACCCCAATGTGACAATATGATAAATCATTTTTTGGATGAATAACAGAAGATCAGATTATGAGATGACTCAACCAATATATTGATATAAGATCGTGCCTTGCACTAACTTTTCTAAAGATTATTAACTGTTCATTGTGAGATTAATAGGAATTCACCCAATCTCCTGAACTTAAGTGGAACTACACAAAGTTTTCGGATTTCCATTAGAAAAAAAAATCAGTAAATGAAAGGTAGGATAGTTGTAAAAGTAAACTATATACTCCTCTAGTTGATTGTTCATAATTATAATGAGGTATTACTGATCACCTTGTTTTTTCAATGATATATAGTTTTCAGAATAGGATAGCCTGTTTGAGTCACTAATCTCAATATTTCGAGGCTAGGTTAAAATAATTGCTCGAATTTGCAATTATGTTCTAATAGTGCAATTGCAGAAGGAGCGTGAGTAAAGTATATCGTCACTTATGATGTTGGATCAGCTAGAAAAGGTCAAACTATTACGAAATAATAATAATTTGATGTATTTTTTGACAGTCAATATTTTATTTCTCCTCTGAAGTGTTGCAGCACTTGATTTTTATTTGCGAAAGAAAGATTTTGTTTTTCTACTTCTCCATCTTGATACAAAANAGTTTCATTGAGAAGTGAAACTCAAAAATATCCCGGAATTCTACTAGCTGCTGATCATCATTTCATCTGAAATTTCCGAATATTTTACTGTCTCCTTTGTAATTGAGTGATATCTGGAAGTGAAATAAAAGTATTTCCCAAGAATAGTTTCATTATTACGCGACTGGAAACCCAGTCGCGTATATTCATTTTAAATTGAGATTGATAAGTTGATTAACATGCTCAAATATGACACAATCATAATATCAAGTATCATCATGACTTACACGGTTTTTTGCATTAACCTCATTTTGTTTATGAAAAAAACAGTATTAAAATCATTTATCCAGAAAAAAATTATTATAATATAATAATATTAATTCACCAACAATGAAAGACATTCATCATCTACAATTACAGATAGAAAACAAAAAACACACAACGCAATTGGTTGTCCTAGATAATAGGTAATAAACATAAAGCGAATCCATTGAAACCCTAAGGTTGTGCATGAAAGTTTTCCACTCATTGTATTACCAAATAATCTCTGAACATTTATTCAGTGAAAGTATTTACAAATTTCTGGAACCGAACAAAAAAATTAAAGACAAGAGTAGAAACGGAATTTTACACCAACAAAATAATCATTGAATGTATTTGCTAGCATTTTTACATCAGTTGAGAGTTTGTTCTCATTATTATTTATCATTAAAGTATCATCATACTGTATCATTAGGTAATCATTATAGTGCTTGGATTTACGATTTTCCATAAATTTTTAGCTTGATTATTATTATTGTCCATTTATTTTTATGAAAAATGTTTTTTTTTTCATGTTTTTTATTACATTGATTATATTATCATCTTCTTTTATCAGCATCTTCAGGTATTTCTCACGTTTAATTTATTTTTGATGTCACTACTTCTTGGTATATTGGATAACAAAATGATTAAACGTTTCTATATATAAATATACTAACTGATTCATTGAAATGACTAAAATGTATAGAAATATTGTTGAAATATTGTAGAAATAGATGTTGGCAATTGCCAACATCTTTGCAACGCCAGAACTACTTACCCTATTTCATGATGGAAATTTCTAAGATATTGAAATTATTTGTCAAAGAAATTTTTGAAAGCACACACCAAATAAGTGTATTGATAGAAGAAGAATTGTTTGATAACGAAATAATTTTCTTCGCCAATAACATTTCAATATCATGTATATCATTTCCATTTGCAATTTTCCAGCTCTCGTTATGGGAGAGCTAAATATATCAATAAATTGAAAATTTTACTCACATAAGCGGACAACGCTTTCATTCCTCTTGGAAACCTCACCCTGTCAGCTACCAGTTCACCATATGCATTTCTCTCTTTCTCCAACCAACAATCGTCCACATTGATGTATTCATATCCTGCACTGGCATATCCTTCATTCACAAGGATATCAGCCATAGTCCGGAATAAGTTTTCACTGCAAAAAAATAATATCTGAAATGGAGGTTCTGAAATAAATCATGGAATACGGAGTCATTTTTCATATTGATTGAAATTATATTTCAGATGAGCATTTCTTAAAAGTGGAGTTTTTTGAAGAAATGAGATAATTGAATATAGATATGATGTTTTGATAGGAGATTGTTATTTAACAAATAGGATTGTTATTTCAGAAAAAATAAAAAATTTGAAGGAGGAAGTTTTATAACATTAAACATTTACTATAACGATGGGTAAATAAATAAATTTTTGACTAAACCTTTCGTGTTGATACGTCCACCATCACCTTTTTTTTTCGAATGAGGACTTGTCTCTTTCATTGCAAATATTGATAAAGCAATAAAATCACAGTTCAGTGGTATATCACACTCGATATTTTTATAGCGTTTCATTTAAAATAAGTAGCATCATTGACCATAATCAAACTGAAAACAATTTATTTCATAAGTTTCCTTCCGTAATCCCTTTCATTGAGGTGATGAACTTTGCGTATCCTGTAGCATTTGTATTTTTTCTTTTTCTAAATATTTCTGGTAGATTTTACAGAAATCCGTTTTTCGTGGGCAATTTCTCGTATAGAATAATCTTGATTAGAAATATTTTTGCAACTGGCCAATCCTAAATTGAAAAAAAAATGTTTCACTCCACTTTGTTAATCTTTATGAGGTAATATTTGCCTATCCAAAACATTTATTTGGTTCCTTACACTTCCAACAACACATTTTTTGTTTTATTTCTGTCAAATGCACCACAGTCTATCAGAGTAAAGTATAATTTTTTTTATTAATCATTATAATTCATACTTATATTAAAATGATCTTCGCAACAAAAATGCGTCCCCTTGGCAGATACAAAGTTGGCCCTCCGCATAGCGCGCTGTCATAACTTTCGTAACAGTCAAATAAAAATTTTGTCTGGTGCAGTTACCGAACTTGCATTTGGAAACGATGCAATAGTTGTAACGTCGTTTTTGATCACTATTCATATTCACGGAGTTGGCACAGTGCAGTAAACAACACATCACTTGCTTTCTACAGCTTTAGGGCAAGCAAACACTACAGACTTTTTATCGGCCGATGGTTTAGTTGGATCCTTATTAGTATAAAATCATAATGTGAGTCCGCACATCTAAGCGATTCCAGTCGGCCGACTGAATAATCAGAAACAAGTTGGATAGGCTTCCCAATTCTGATTCAATAACAAAGTTGAACAACTATCGGCCGAGTTCTAATCAGACTGCGTGTTTATGAGAGTGCGCAGACTCACCAACTAAACAGTCGGTGCCTGCAGACTCCCCACTCTACATTCCATTGTTGATATCTGATATCAAATATTATCTAGTACCTAATTTATCTTTGAATATATTTGCGTTTTCATTACATTTTTTTTTCATAATTATGTCGAATATTGCCGAATGTTCAGTAGAAAATTTAATTGCAATTGTTGTTCCTGCATGGGGTGAAATGGATGCTGCAGACAAAAGAAAACTAGCCTTCGTCGATAACATTCTTCAATACTTTCAATACAACGCGTCAAAATATTATATACATCAACAACTGTTCAGACTTTTCAGTTGGTGGTCTGCGCACCCGAACCGAACCGAACAGTTTTGTTGAGTTGTGTGCCCCCACCCAACCCAACCAGACTAAACTATCAGCCGACAAAATGTCTGTAATGTGCGCTTGCCCTTAGCACACTAATTTCGCTTATCCGCCAGCACTCCCTTGTCGGCGAGTCGACTGATGTGACGTCAAGCTTGACCACGCCCCGTTTCGGTGAACGCCACATTTAACAATTACTTTGAGGGGGAAGATAAAAAGTGAAAATTCAGATTTTTGGCAGATGTACTATTTGGAACATAAACTTTCAAATTATGAAATAAAAAAAAATTGTTAAATGAGCCCATTACAACAAACGTATTTTGACCAAAAAACTTATATTTTTGTTACTTCCAGGATTGAGAATCAAGAAAATATTTCGTTTGAAAATTGCTGAAGGAGAAATCAGCCTTGAAAAACAAATTTCTGTTTTTTAAAGGACAAAACACAAGCACTATAGTAAAATCCTTAAGGCGCTCTTAGAGCGGTGCCTGTGCGATATCAAAATCTCCAAAAAAAATACGTATATTCGTTTGTTGGGGTATCTCATCGAAAATATTGGGTAATCTCTAAGGTATGCCAATAGTTGAATATGTTCTGAAGAGATCAAAATAACTTACAGAGAACGTAACGACATGTACCTACGTAATGAAAAATTGTTGTTAGTGGTGATGCTAGTTATTTTGAATGAAATGCTATGAAAATATCAAGTGTGATATACTAATGAATTATGATTTCATTACTTTATCAATATTTGTAATAGAAGTGACAGATACGCGTTTGAGAAAAAAGTTAATGGTGGTTGTTCAATCAAAGATTTAGTGTCACATCATTAATGTACATTTCGAATGCAATAAAACATTTCTTGCATTTTCTTTCTGAAATAACAATTCTATTTGTAAAAACCCAAAAGCAGCATTTTCAGTTTTCTCTATATAATCCCAAAATATCGAAAGTCTCTGTATATTTCCTTTGACCATTGTACTGTTTCCCATGATAGTTACCTTCTTTCCTATTCAATTGTCTCATTACCTATTACGGTTTAGAATATATAAATATTATCCCATGCACTGTATACTCATTTTCATACAAAATACTATTTTTCATTAATTCATTCAGGAGTGGATGAAACTTTAGCAATTTGAAAGAGAAATGTAGGTAAATAATTTTCTCATAATGTTTAAAATAGAATATTAGAAATTTGAGAAACATGAGACAGGTATTTCTCAACAATTTATCTTAGAGACAGAAAGTAGTTCAGCATCAATTCACAACTATCCATCTATACCTATAAAAAGCTTTAGAGATATACAGGGTGTTTACAATTAAGTCGGCACCATTGTCAACTCCGTTATTATTGATGCTACGAAATCGGTTAAAAAGACAAACTAGTAGCATTTTCAATGGCCTTCTTGATGCCGAAAACAAAAAAAAAATATCAGTGGCGTTTACAAAATATTCCATAAAATGATATTTTTTTAAATGGAACACTATCTTTTATCACGCGACTGTCAAATTTTGTTTTGTTATCGTCATCGAAAAGGCCATTACTAGTTACTAGTTACTAGTTACTAGTTTCCCATCTAACCGAATAAGTAGCATCAATAATAACGGTGTTGCTAAACGTGCCGGATTTATTTGAAACACCCTGTATATGAATGCAAAGTGAATCTTTTATCAAATATTGTCATACTGATAATTGACTCTCTGTTCTCGGTATTATCTGAAAAATATTAATCACCAGTAACATTAGGATAACTGTTGATTTGAACAAAAAATAAAGTTGATTGAACTTTCTGATTGTGATTTGTTTCAGAAATATCAGAAATCAATAAACCACTCGTATAAAACACTATTGTTCATTTCCAATATCTAATACTCTATCGAAGTGTCACCAACAAAAATAAATTTGAAATTTTCTGAAATGAGAACTTTCGATATACAAATTGTGAACTTGAATGTAACCAAATTAGGGCCAATCAAATTCTCCAACGATTTGCCGAATAGGTTTAAAAATGTCTGCAGGTAATCACATATTTCGTTAATTATTGATTGTAATGTCAAAAATGTCAACACTAAGGCTCGTTTCACACTTATACGGTTCAATTCGGTTCGGTGCGTATTCGATTCGTTTTCGTTAGCGCCGAAAATGAATGAAAACTCTTCACACACAAGCGGTTAGTATAAGGTTTGATTTCACGACCGAATCATCGAATATGCAGTCACCCACTTTGCCCACAATGCTCACCATGGAGAAGAGACAAATTGTTGCCATGTTATTTCTCTATAGAAAATTCGAAAAAGGAAAGAGGAATAATCGACTTCATTGGATAAACCCTATCCTCACCAAACGGGTGAAGTTTGGTGCATTTTATACCCATTTTCCGAAATTAAGAGAGCACGAAGACAAATTTTCAAATTACTTCAGGATGTCTACATCATTTTATGAATTACATATGAAGTCAAAGGACTACAAAATTTAAAAAGCGAAAATTAAAATAATATTCTCGCTTGCCGAAAACGTGACCGAACCGAAACTAAACCGTATGTGTGAACGATCAATTGCTTTTGTGAACCTTGGACCCTAATCGAAATCGAACTAAACCGATTCGTGTCGAGGGAGCGTTCGGTTCTATCAATTGTCTATTGGGTACCGAACACAAACCGCATCACCGTTTCACACTTGTCCGGCGGCTACCGAAAACGAATCGAATACGCACCGAACCGAATTGAACCGTATACGTGTGAAACGAGCCTAACAAAAATAGATTTATGTTTGTATGAAAAAATATGAACTTTAGTTTTCGATAAAAAATATGAAGAGTTTTATTTCAAAATATACTCTGTTTGTATAAAACCGGATTGGAGACATTTGGCATTATTCCTATTCCGGAAATTGTTGTTGTTTTATAATTTCATGATTTGTATTGAAAATAAATGAGTTTTATTTTCAAAATAATTGGTAGTACAGAGAAAGGGCTACTGTAGTGACATAATGTTTCATTTCTATACCCTGTATCATTTGAGAAATATGCCTTAAATATCCGTTTTCTATACTATGGATTCTGAACAAATGAACAATGACAGTACCTTATACAGTTGTCAGGATCGTTTTTGCAGTCTGTGTTACATCTGAATCTCTCCCAGGCCAACCAACCCATGGGAGGCGTTCTTGCCAATCCATTTTCCAAAGGAGTTACGTTAGATCCGAGGTAAATCACCACTACTAATGAGGTCCATATTTTGTACATTTCACTTAGTTTGCTCAGGCCTAACCTGAAATTTAATAATTTTCCTTTGAGGTGACATGATAAATGACAGGTATGAAATTTGCAATACAGGGGACGGAGGATAATTTAGTGGAAACTTGATATCTGATGAGTATAGATTTCTACTAATCGGTTAAGAAGTTACTCGAGTTCTCAAAATTCAAAAATGTTCTGAATATGTTCGATGCATTGGTAACAAAGTTCTAAAATTGATCATAATGGAATATCATTCAATAATCTCACTTCAAAAAAATCAGCTGGTGAAAAGCGAAGCACGTGTTTATATTGAAAATTTAAAAAAAACATTGATATACTTTTTTCATGATGTACGTACATGTACAAATCGACAGCTTCGATCTTCTGGAAAAGTGGATTGAAACTATGTCCTTACATGAAAAATATATCAATCATTGAAGAAATACATATTTTTAATCTCCTTTTCGAGTAGATAAAAGAATGTCGAGATAAAAGTAGTCATTGTCTCACAATATTTTGTGCTGATAAATGAGTATCGCTTGATATTCACTAGATAAACTCTCTCTCTGGTTTGTAATTTCTTTTTCATCAGTCTGTGAGAATTTGTGATACAAACGAAGACAAATGATCATTAATGTTTCAGAGATGGTGTTGTTTGTGAATTCAGTATTGTCAAATACAATCAATAATTGATGGTGCCAATTCCATTGGAATGTTTTCAGCTGAAAGTAGTAGTTTTGCTTAGTGCCGTGAGTTCATGTTTTCTACTACTGCTAATTGTGTTCCAATTGTAAAGTTCTCGTCGTCTAAGAGCTTCCTTTGGATGATCTGAAGTACCTTAACAGAAACGTTGGTAACTAGATGATACCAGAGCCCAAAGTAAAAAATAAGTAAATGGATCATGGAGTCAACCATGATGATTTACTTCTTTTTTACTGGCGTACCGTGTATACAAATCCCATGCAGTCACAGCTACAAATCCTGCAGGTCACAATTATTTGTTTTCTAATATATCAGTTGATGGATTTCATCCATCACATTTCATTTAATTATCTTCATATTTTAAACCTAGATATCATTTTCTATTCTATTTTCTTCAACAACTAAATTTTATGCTATTAGTTTCGATTTTATTCTTTTAAGCTTTTACCTATTCATCTATATTTTTTAAAATCATTCTGCAACCGGAAGTAATTGTGTATTTTTGAGATATGATCATGGTAATATATATTTGGGAAAATTTATCTGCCATCTTCCACATCCTTGAACAGATACGTGTAAATTAGCAATTAATGATTTCTCTCACGTTCACGATATTACGGCAATATTTGTTTACGAAATCAGCATCTGGGCATTCTTGGTTTTCTCACTCTAACTGAACTCGGCATCGATGACCGGTGTCTTAGGTAAGTGACTCGATTTTTTTCTCTACTGCAAGCACAGTCACTTTCACTTACCCATTGCCCTATTATTCCCGTAACCAGGCACAATAAATATGCAAATATCGCTCGTGTCTCTCAGGTGAACCACGATATTTAACGGATTATGAAATAATTACAGTTTGATTAAGTACTTAACGGTATTTTGTAATGGTCAGAATAACCGCCCAAGAACGCAGAGAAATATTTTGACTAGTAAGAATTAGTTATACAGTAGCTGGAGATAGCTAAATATTAAATACACTGTTTCCCTGAAGTAACGGATTGATTGTATGCAATTGTTGCCTTTTGGATATTAAATTTTCAACTGCTCTTCATTCTTGAGGAAGGGTATCCCCAACTTCAAAAATTAAATAGCAAGGTACTCAAAGGTACTCAAGGTATTCAAATACCTTGAGTATACTCACATCATGTGAGTATACTCATATGGTTTTATATTCCCACACAAATACTTATATGCAACGAGAACAAAAATTATTTACGTATATTTTGAGTGAATACATGAATATTCATAATCTACTAATTAAATTACTGGAAATTTCTGGAAATTGTGGATTCCTATGTTGAATATGTTGAGGAATGAAAGATGGAATTCAGAGTCTTTATTGTTATTTCTCATTTTTCATTTGTTACGTTGAAATATCAAGTTTTGAGTTTAGTTTATTATTATTATTTTTTCATTTTTATCATTTGCATATTATGGACCAATTGTTCAACTCATTCAATAATTCATTTCCATTTCAGGCTACAATTTGTTTTTTTCTCCTAAAAAGCGTTGTTGAAGTCTTGAAAATTAATAATTATTGTTAATTTTCTATTTCATTCTTTTTTTCAACTAATTCATCCAAAAATTTTGGTTCTACTTTTTCAATATATATAAATATTTCATTAATTCACAAAACTTTGTTTCATAATGAATGGTGGATACTTTAGTCAGAGGAGTAATATCCAAGTCTAGCTTTTCTGAAAGAACTGCTTGACAATAGAAACATTTTGATGCATTGATTGTCATTGGACATTTCTAGAGGATCGATCTTGATTTTAAGACAAAAATCTCATGCTTGATTTTTGACAAGATCATCTACAGCTTCCACATTTTACAGCTTGTTAAGCAAAATAAGCCCCTCGCACATTCCCCTGATGATGTCTGCCGCAGCAGTGGACGAAACGTTTGGTACTTCATGTTACATTCAACTACGGCCACCTAGACCAGATGTTCTCTTCAATCGTAACTACGGGGCCGTGAAAGCTAATGTCCAAAGTATTTGGTTTGTTTGGTTCAAATGATCATTGTCTTAGAAATAGAAATCGGACCCCTGAAGCAGTTCGGATTTTGTTCAAAGACACTACTCCAAACCATCCTCTGATATCATAATGACGGTTAAGTAATCTTGGACTCGTTCGAGATTAGCCTGGAGTCGGAACAGTTAAGTATATATTTTTTCAATGATGCAAGAATATCCGCATTCACAACCTTCCCCGAGGCTGCTTCATAAGTTGATTCGTTAAAAAACTACAGTTTTGAGACTTCATTAGCATAAAATTCACCCATACAAAGTGCAATTGGCAGAAGAATTGTCCAATGATGTATGTTATAAAATGAAATGCAATATTTTGTGAGACGATGATGAAATTAAAATAGAAATATCGTCCTTTCTGTCAATTGTTGTTACTGGGTAGTTCGAAATCCGCATTGAAACATGCATCCATATGACATATTCCTTTAATTTCAGTAATAAGAAGATGAATATTTTTTGTATAGTCAATGGTCAGGCATTCGGGATGCTGTACAGTTTCTAGGTTTTACCGTCTGAATATTGATCATAGAGCTAGCTAACAAATTTTCGATATTACTAAGAAATAAACAGTGAATCGTTCTGAATTTCAAATAATCAAAACATGAAAGAAAACTACAAAAAAATCAACAGACGGTTCCCATGCGAAAAAAAAATAGTGAACACCAATATAAAAATGACCGTTATAAAGTTATTTCAATTTCTACGACCCGTTGTTCAATCAAAAACATTTCGTGATTATTTGTAATTATTCAACACACGAAGGCGAGCTGTTTACGTCCCGGAAATAACTTGACAGTTGGGTCTTCAGAGGTATTTGTTCATTCATTAATTTAATATTTTGTACCCAAACAGACCAATCAGGTCTACATACATGGATAAAATATACATACCATATTTAATGTAAAATAATTTTGATATTACGATAACATGCATTAAATACAGTTTAAGTTTATATACCGTGTGACACAGACTTATGGTACACCCCCCTTTCTTTCTTTAGTCTTTCACCTATTTTTACGGAACTATTACTATTGATTATGCTTACAAAGAGGCACTTTTTAACGTAATCTGAGATTTTTTCAACTTCCGGTTTTTCCGGAAATCTTATCAACGTTTAATTTTCAAATAGAACACCCTGCATATTATTACATTTTTGAAATCTACACAATTTTCTGAATCCAATGATACCCCATATTTGATATTTCAAGTGTTAAGACGCTCGGTTTATTTTTCGATCTAGTATAACATTTCCTTTAAATTTTATATGCCACGATGGATACAGCCAGCTCTAGCATGCGGAGGCAAGGGCGTGGATCTTTAGGACAAAAGCTATTTGGCCTTTTGGAAGTTCAAATGGGTGGTATCGAAAAGAATAAGATATAGATATCTTACTAGGGCGCCATCTACAGCAAATAACAGTTACTAATAATCCTTTTTGATACCAGTCTCCGTAGATAAACTCTATCTCCAAATAATAAATAACAGCAATACATATTTTCAAAAATTTAATGAACTGAATTAGCAACGTTGTGCAATAATATAAACGCTGCTTCCTTGGTCAGAAGAATAACTAGTTACAGTATCTTACCTTCAGTTAAATGCATTTAACCTTACAGTAATCTCGTTAATACAGTTGTTATAGATTCCACAATGACCCAAGGTTGACTCAGCTACAGTAGAATAGAATCGACTCGTCCTCTCCACAGTTGGCAGTCCAGTAGTCCATCCACCTNAATGTAATAGCTAACAAACAATGTCAGTTTATAGAAATGTCAAAAGTTGTTTGTAATTCATAGCCACCTCATTAACTTACCTTTATTAAATTGCGAAAATACTTAATAATTTTCATGGCTCTCTAGATCGAAAAATAAACCGAGCGTCTTAACACTTAAAATATCAAGTATGGGGTATCATTTGATTCAGAAAATTGTGTAGATTTCAAAAATTTAATAATATACAGGGTGTTCTTTTTGAAAATTAAACGTTGATAAGATTTCCGGAAAAACCAGAAGTTGAAAAAATCTCAGATTACGTCAAAAAGTGCCTCTTTGTAAGCATAATCAATAATAATAGTTTCGTAAAAATAGGTGAAAGAATAAAGGAAAAAAGGGGGGTGTACCATAAGTCTGTGTCACACGGTATACATTATTGTAGGGGATCAAACAAACGGGCTTCTCAATTATGAAAATTTTCAATTGTACTGATTGAATGAAATGATTTCTACAGCGACATATTCAGTAGATGATTCAGAATGACATGACGAAAGGTACTTTGTGGCAATGTAGGCTAGTCGAAGCATGGCTACAATGGGATTTCTAATACGTAATACCAAAGGAACATTGAACAAGGTAGATGAACGAGTACGATGAAATGGTATCCAAGATAACATCAATGGTGAATTGATTTTATTGTTTATAATATTATAAAGAAATAACATCATTCGCAAAAGGTAAACATTTCGAAAACTTCAACACAGACGGCAGATCATCAATAAATATAACAAATAAAAGAGGTCCTAGATTAGAGCCTTGTGGCACTCCTGAATTAGCAAGAAATTTACAATATATATTACCATCTCGTCTCACTATGAGAAATCTATTTTTCAAATAAATTTTAAACAACTTCAATGATTGTCTCGTTAATCCATATTCATTCAATTTTTGTAATATAGGTCAAAAGGTTTTGCAAAAATCTCTGAAAAGCGTATCAAGTTGTAAATTATTTTCCAATGTGTTATAGGCGTTTTTGCTGAAAATAAACAAATTACTATTTATCAATTTATTTGCAACGAAACCGTGTTGTTCAGGCGTTATAAATTTCTTCAGATGGTGACAAAGTTGGGTATAAACAATTTGTTAGAATAATTTAGAAGGAGCACACATAATTGAAATAGTTCTTTAGTTTTCTATAGCCATTTTATTTTCCCGCTTTTTGGATAGTTGTGGTTATAGCTGTCTTCCACTGGGTAGAAAAAAAACTAGTTTTTTTATACTCACATACACACTCCGTAAATATTTCTTTCCAGATATGTTAAAAATTACCTAATGAGCATCAACTAGTATGAAAGAATAAGACAATATAAGAGAAAAGCAGATTCAAGGCAAAACACAAGCACCTCTAATATTGATGACGAATTAGTTGCTAACTTTATGCAATCTATTTTTATTCTTCCTTTGAAAAATCGTCAATTGACAATATTGGATAACTATTATGATTTTACGGTGGCAGGGATTTACATTTCAATGCTGGCACCAATGAATTTATGTTGATCCTTTCAACTCCACTATTTCCAATAAATAGCACATTTAATTTTTGCAGTTAAGTTTGATTCGACCATATTCGATGAGAATGAAATCGTAGGTATACTATGTTTTATAGTATAATTAGAAGCTTTAATAAAAGTTGTCAAATATCTTAATGATTTTGTGTAATATTAACGGAAATTATAATTGCTAAACCACTTGATCTTTATCGAATATGGTGAATTGGGAAAAGTACGCGGTACGTAAACAACTAACAGGTTTTGTTGTTTAATAATACATTCTTCAGCTGTTTTGGACAATACGGAATTACTTGTTGAACCAGAACAAACATAAATCAAACGTTTCACTATCTACATCTATATTGGTGAGGTCAAGAGAAAGATATCAATTGCGATCCATCGTTTGATTCAAGTATTTATTTTTCCATGCACTTATGGGCTCAAAATTTTGTAGATTTTCGAGCATATTTTCGATGTCAAATTTGTGTGAGAGAGATGATGGGAAATTTGAAATAGAAAGTACATTGAGTATATACGAAATAAAACACATGACAGAAAAATTGATTTTTTTTAATTTCAGGTATACTTTTCAATACTGGAGGCGTAAGGGTGTGGTTTGAGAATTCCGCATGGGTCATAAGGTATATTTCGAATTTTTGCTACACACATATTATCATAATTTAATATTTTTACTGTATTTGATCATATTAACCTATTGAAACTATAGCTGAGATTGTAGTTGTCATTTGAAAGAGGTTTTTCGAAAATAACATTGAACCTTTGATAGATAAAAAAATAAAATCGGAGTCTTCATGTCAATATCAAGGAAAGTGATGCAGTAGAAAAAAACTTTTTTATAGCATCTTCTCAAAATGATCCAGAAAGAAGTTCGAATGCCGTTCTAAATAATTTTCGTTTCAGAATATCCTATTTTGAATAATTTTACCTGAATTACAGTTTGATAAGCTTTACGTGAATTAATTGTTGAATTTTGCAATACCTAGTATCAGTATACATTTTGAAGAACCCCCATTCTTCAACACAATATATTCAGTACTATCTGAGGTAATTAACTATTAACTATTTCTCAATTTTTACATAATAGCTATGTGAACGTTGGTTCGATCCCAACTGTAGGACCATTGGATTTCACTGTATATCGTCCGATTCATGCTAGGAATCGTACTTTGAAAGGTAAGACTCTCGTTAGTCCTTAGCTCGCACAATTTTCCACTTTTGCTTGTCGTTCATAAGGGAGAGACAGCTGTTTAACGAAAAAACACATTCTATGCACATTTGAACACACATACACATATTGTAAAAAAGCACATTTGGAAACGTTTTTCAGATGCCTTTATACCTTTAGTTTTTCCGGTTTTTACCGTCGATGAATACTTCACATACATCTAACGCTTCTTCCTCGCCAGAACAAAAATACTGCCTTTCAACGTGCGTTTCGATAATCAAGTTTTAATCCTCAGGATATGAAAAGGTATGGGAACAGTGTTTTCTTTACATAAAAACAATTTTATTTCAGCAACTATTTCTCTCTATATCGAGAGATAGTGTTGTAATTCAGGCGTGGCTAAAAATTTTTTCATTAGATTCATTTTACGCTAGAGGTTCCCATTCTACCTGTCAAGTGAAAATATACAGTCCAGAAGAAATATATAAATGAAATTTTGTAAGTTTATGGTCGCTAATACATTTGGATTCCATTCAAAACTAATTCATTTCCTGTTCTTCCATGCGGGTTTTGGAGGTCATTTAAAATCATTTTATACTGTCACTTTGTTCAAGTCGTTACTTGTGAAAAAATCTGAGATGAGTGATATGGAGTCAAGGTTTCGTTGTTGATAGAAGGTGATGATTTTTATAAGAATCTCATCGGCGAAATCCGCGGCATGTAAGGAAGCGAGGTCAAACTGTTGAATATCCAAACACAGATATCGAGTATTACCATCACTACTGGTTTAAGTAGGCGTATATCAACTCATCAAACGTAAAAAATAATGAGAGAGAAAAGTAAGTGTAATAAGAGTAAGTTATAAAATTGATGTTATAGTCGTTGAATTATAGCATGTATTCACGTACAATTGTTGTTTGAAATATGTTTTTTCCGTTAACCAGCTATCGCACACCTACGAACGATAACCCTAAGAAGTCGAAACTTGTGCGAACTAAGGACTAACGAGGTCTTACCTTTTAACGTGTGATTCCTAACATCTCCTTAATTGCTTCAAAGGTTTCAACTTTTCAGGCCATTTGACTTCTGCATTCCTTAAATAACTGATTCGAGTCTAAAACTGAGCATGGACATGAAAGAAAGACTCATTGCAAGGCTACGATATTATTGCTATCCCATATTCATCGGCAAAAAACACAGCTTTTTCAGTGCCCCCTTTTCCCATTATCTGTTGGGGTACTCTTGCAGTATAGACATCCAATCAAACTATCGCTGTAATGGCGATCAATAAAGAAGGTGATACATAAGAGAGTCCTGATAGATATTGAAAGACAACAGCAATACTCCTGTCTGAAATGTACAAGATGTTATCAACCACAGCACTATTAATGAAATTATCTGCAGGATGTTGTAGAATTGGCCGCGGTGGTAGTGCGCCCGACTCACGATCGGAAGACCGTGGGTTCGATTCCAGCCTCGACCAGATATTTTCCTCGAGAGAATTTATCTAGTTGAAGCTGGAATGATTCTGCAACGGTGTTAGAAATCACACGTTGAAAGGTAAGACTTCGTTAGTCCTTAGCTCGCACAAGTTTCTCAACTTCTGAGAGTTGTCGTTCGTATGGGGGCGACAGCTGATTAACGGAAAAACAGATTTTAAACAGATTTTTATACAGATGTCAAAACATCCAAAACGAAAGCACTGCTAAGACTTCGTTAGTCCTTAGCTCGCACAAGTTTCTCAACTTCTGAGAGTTGCTAACCAAAATATAATAGCATGGTGGCGACATGAAGTGCTAATGAACGCAAATGCTTATCATTGATATTGAGCTATGCGTAGAAATGTAAGAAGGGGAGATGAACTACTACCCCACCTTATAATCGGTGAAAGTGAAAACTGTATCTACTGCGATGTGGAATACAAAATTTTCTGCTCCAATAGATGACACGCTAGAAGGCTGAAATAAAATGGACAAATGGCATAGTATTTTGGGGTAACATATTAGGAAAAAAAGTTGGCAAGTACCAGCCATGAAATGTTGGAATCATATGCATACTTTGTGGGACACTTTCTGAAGAAGTCATAGTCACAGTACATGAAAGGGTTGCGAGGTCTGCCCCACCGATATGAAAATGTCCAAACGCCTACCTCTATATATTTTTGAAGTAATACTCATGACTAATAAAAAAATTTGGCTTCTATAAGATATAAATCGAGCCAAATATGTTATTGATTTCGTAGCAAAGTTTTCCGAACGTGATTCGTTAAGAAATAGAAAAATCCACGAGTACAAAATGAAATACTTCCAGATATATGGAATAGCAGAAGGGATGGAGCAATTAAATTGCTTCTGAGTTCACCGGACTCAACTCCCTTGGATTCATTTCTTTGAAAGGTCAAATTCAGATACATGTCACTTAATTCCAGGAGGAATTTCAGGAAATATATTTTCAGGGCAGGCAATTTTTGGAAAATTATTGGTCGAAAAATAATACATGGGTACACCCTTGAAAAACAAGAATAATGTAAGTTTTTCATAAAGATGTGTTACTTCTCTCCGAACCTATTTAAGAGCCGAAGGGTAGATGTTATGGTCAGAAACAGACCAAATAAAATGATATTTTTATATTTCCAAGCTAAAAAGCAATTTAGTTGATTTACAAAATCGAAAAAATGATTCAAGCTCTCAAAAACGAAAATGACGAAAAATAGAACAATACTTAAATTCAAACTTTTTGGTTAATTTCGATCCTTTCAAAATCCAAAAAGGCACATTCACAAACACGACCACAATTACCTTAACTCTTTCACTATTCCACTCAGATTTTGCAACTGATTCACTGTCGTTCAATGGTATCGAAGGTAAAAGTTAAGTGTCCTGCCTACGGTCAACTACCACGTCCATTCGCGACCGCGGCTTCACAGTGAATACCGAGTACCAAGAAGTGAGTACCCAACGATCTGTCCGTACTGCCAGTTGGAGGTTAGATAGTCCACAAACACACGGTATAGAAACTGGTGTTTTAACCGCCAGAAGCAAGACTCCGATTGTTCGTATGATCTCCTCAGTCTCTCCGGATGCCAATGAGGTTTAATATATTGTGATAACACCAGCGCGTGGATTATCTACCAGGACTGATCCATTAGTTTATGTACGACTGTTATGAAACCCTGCATAATATTCTTGTGTGGAGTTCGGTTATGGCAGTTTGAAGCACATAAACATCGCACTTGTTTATCAAACTCATATTGGTTGAAACAAGAATTACCCAGGATGGTCTCTGGTGAGTTACGCTATCAGTTATCCAAGCAATTGGCAGGGAGGCTCTGAATCTTTTTTCAGTACCTCAGTTACTCCAGTATGAAGAAGCCCATGGCACCGTACATAAGTAAACAGAAGTAAATTCACTCCCGTCGGTCTCTTTGATGTTTCGGGTTGAGATTTTATTTTTTGCTGGCATGTGGCGTGGCAGGAGGGTGTCGGCTAAGAGCTGTTGTGCACCTCTGCGCGAGGTTCGATCAAAAAATATTTGACCATGATCTGACTTCATCATTGCTACGAGGAGCTCTCAATAAATGTCTCATATGATTGTGAACTGTTAAGGAATTCATAAAAAATAAGACAAGGTGGTAAAATAAACGTATATTTTATATAGTAAGATTATACAATTTAGGTCAAAAACTTATGCTAATATATTTTAAAGGTTTTTCAGAATGATGAGTTTTGATTTCTTTAACATTTGTTTTCAAATTTCTATTGGCAAATTTCAAAGTTCAATAAGTTCTTACCCTTGTGAAAAGAGAAAATAAATAATCCAAAGGAAAATTATCACAATCAGTGGCACATAAATTGTTGAAATGATTAATGATTGTAATAATTGAAAAAATGAATCTGGAGGCATATATAAACTTCCAAACTGTTTGGCTACTGTATTACTATATGCCTTGAAATTACTATATACCTACATTTGTTTCATTCAGTGTCGTACTAGCCGCCGTGGCAAAATTTGTACATACTTCTCATGAATGTTTTCTTAAACATTTTCTCAAAAGATATCCACAAACATAGCCCAAGCTGTTGCTTTTAGGAGTGGCTAGAGTTCTATAATCGTTTGTCTCTACTCTCAAAGGTTTACAGAGATTTTTTGAAACTTCCACAATAATCTTCATTCTGTTTATGTCAGCATCTGT